TGAGTCCATTAAACTCTCAAGATGATCTAAGAGCAAATGGAGATTTTACAGTTTCGTGCATAGCCATTGTTTCTCTTTCCAGACTCAGGAGCGATTTTATTAATGAGTTTGCACAGGATCTGTCCATCTCGCAGGACTTCTTCGTAGGGTTGATTAGGAAGTTTTTCGGCCACTACAGCTTCGATCCATTCTAGAACCCCCTTTTTCGTCGCATTGCGTGGCCGGAGCAGGTGAGTGGAGCCGAGTGGCAAAGGGAATCACCTCATTGCTTCCCGTCGCCGAGCATTCGTTCTCTCTCTCTCTACCTCTCCGCTTCATTTTCTCCACCCGGTTCTCCCGTATTCGATCCGATCATGCCGGTGAGTTCCACGATTTCGCTGATTCTTCACTTCCTCGTCCGTGGCATCGGGGCTCGATGTCGACTGAGAATCCCTTCGTGTCTGAATGAGTACTGCAGAGGCGAGATCCGGCTCAGGAAAAGGAGGTTCTAGAATGGATCGAAGCTGTAGTGGCCGAAAAACTTCCTAATCAACCCTACGAAGAAGTCCTGCGAGATGGACAGATCCTGTGCAAACTCATTAATAAAATCGCTCCTGGGTCTGTAAAGAAAATCACCTCCAAAGGTGGACAGTTCCAGATGATGGAGAACGTTCAGAGGTAGAGTGCCCACAAAATTCCTTTATGCTATGAACCTGATTTTTCAAGTTCCATCTCTCAACCAGTAGTTGCTTCCATATGTGATACTGAACTCCTCACTTTAGGTTCCAGGAGGCTTTGAAGAAATACGGGGTTCCCGAAGAGGAAATCTTCCAAACCGTGGACCTAACTGAGAAGCGAAATGTGGTTCAAGTGACCCTTTGTCTCTACGCTCTCGGCCGCCTCGTGAGTCCATTAAACTCTCAAGATGATCTAAGAGCAAATGGAGATTTTACAGTTTCGTGCATAGCCATTGTTTCTCTTTCCAGACTCAGAAGCATCCTGAATACACGGGACCTCGGCTAGGTCCGAAGATGGCGGACGAGAATGTGAGAAATTTCTCGGAGGAGGACGTAAAGAGATTGCGGGAAACGCAAGTGGGTCTTCAAGCCGGTTTCAACAAGGGAGCCACCCAGTCAGGACACGGTGGATTCGGCAACACACGACACATGTGAAACTACTTTCGCAAGGAAAAAAGACTCCCTTCCTCCACTCCCTCCATTTATCTGAATATCCTTTACATGTTCGTCGGTCTTGTCATCGTCATCCACCCTCATTGTGACCCTCGTTTGCTTTCAATCTCTAACATTCGAAACGACTTTGATGTTCGTCTAACAATGGGAGACGTGAACATTCTCCATGTATCCATTCTTGTGAATCTACGAGGAATCTTGTATCCGCGATCGTTCCATGCAAGAGTTTCGTATCTCTATTTTTTACTAATCGCCTTCTTGTATTTTCCTAATGTTTATGTATTTGGATACGAGGAGAGACATTCTTCTTAGACCGACCTTCGGCATATCCTCGTTGTCATATCACGTGTGTAGTCCGAGTACTTTGTTTAGAAATGCAAAATGGAACAATACAGTTCGATATTCTGCTAAAAACCGGCTGACTTTCTGTTCTTCGATATAAAAGCAAGAAGCTGATATTGCAGCCCAGCACTACATTACTGCTGCCAATTACCACCAATATGCTCTCGTGTTTTCTCTACGCTAGTTAAAAGGAAGAGAGCCCAAAAAAGACGCTTGTTCCTCTTAATTCATTTTGACCATGACAAGGAAACGTCCGATTCATATTTCAAAAGCTATCGTAAATTGAGGCCATGTTCACGATACCAACAATCATTAAATAGTTAATAGACTAGACAATCCAAACTCTAAAGACGGATCTGTCGTGAAATGGAGGCGTTTTCAATTTGGTGGTACAGTTCTCAATTCAAAGTGGCATCGCGCAAAATTTGTTCCTAGGCAATTTCAAGACTAATTCGTTTCCACGAATCTTGTAAAGGCAATATGCAGTTCACAATGTATTCTTGTGATTGCATAAGTTGCAAGTTGTGCTATGATCGTAGTGTAACCCAAGGTCACTGATGCCATTTTCGTTAACGGGAAAGTAGGAATGGAAAATCTCCAGTGACTGGGCATGAGGATCCAGTGAGGTGGGGCATGAGGATCCAGTGAGGTGGGGCATGAGGATCCAGTGAAGTGGGGCATGAGGATCCAGTGAGGTGGGAGTGCAAAAGGGAAGCCATGGTGCTTATGTGCACATCAAACCATCCGGGGGTTACGGCAAGGCAGGCAACACAATTCGCGAAAGATAGGAGAGTGAGAATCACTTTTTGGAGATGCCATCGACTGGTTTTGAATGCCACTTGGAAACCTACCTGTTCCATATTTTCAAATATTGAGTGATAGTATTCACAGACTATTTCTTCACAGGCGACTTTTCTGCCATAGAGTCCCATCAACAGGGAAGAAATTATAGCCTTCAGATGAATAATCGCGGCTTAGCTCTTCGAGACATTAATGCGCTGTTTAAAAATTCTGCCGGAAGTACCGTACAGTATCACGATTATTTATGACCTGGGTACAAAGCGTACACCGCTCGAAAAACAGGTGCTTACAGGTACCCAGTTTAAATCCTGGCTGGAAACAGCGATAATTTCCAGCTGGACTCCAGCTGTAAATTCGGACCCATTCCAACTGGGTTACAGCTGGAAAGTACTAATTTCCAGATTTGTTCTTAATTGCTATATCAATAGCTAAATGAGAATCTTTTTGTTGACTGTTTTTTTCAGAGGTCCATCAACAAAACAGCTGATTTTCAACTGTAAATGTAGCTACATTCCTGGTGTAGGGTCCTCTTTATAAAATTTAAACTGGAAAATTTCCAGCTAGAAACAACTATTTTCCAGCTCTTTGCCAGCTGGAAATGGTTCGAATTTACAGATTTGGTCCAG